TTTTGCCTCGTTTTCTTTAAAGGTGTAGACAACAGTATTATCGCTGTGTGGACAACAGAGAGACACAGATGGAAAATAACATCTGCCTATTTATTTATACCAGTTGAGCCACATTTGGCCCCTGAGTTCCTCAGATGAGCATTTGCTGTTAGTCTAAGTCAGTACTGAGGAAAAAAGCCCCTGATGGTCACCATGGAAAGATGGAATCTGAATATCAGAAAGAAAGAAGCAAGCAAAAACCAAACATATTTGAGTTAGAAGAATGACATCATGTCCCGAAAGGATGTCCAAAGAAAACAAGGAATATGTTGTGAAGCTAACTTCCACTAATAGAGAGAATTTGCTGAGATTGCAGTCAGGGGTTTAGTCCAGAGACCCAACATGAAAGCATTTCTTAGGGTTTTCTTGTGCAGCTTCTGATGCCTGTTATAGTCTCACTATTAATAGCTAATAAATATGTTTCACCCAACACTGCAGTGGCTCTTGAAATTCAGATCTGTGGTATGCCACTATGACATCTGAAGACCTACAGTTATTTAAAAACTAATCAGTGTTGTCTCATCAGCAAAGCCAAACAGCAGAAAGAAAATCAAAACATACAAAGGCAAAATAGTGGCATTTCTTTATCCCTGTGAAAATATAAATAAGTGACAGAACCCTACTGAAAATAAAGTTAAATGACTGCATATGCATAAGGCTGTGTTAAAAATTCTTATTTGCAAGTGCATGTGTGCACATATGTATGTAATTATAAATGTATTTTTAATACATTATTTATAATTTGCCTTCTCTGTAAGCCCACTTGCAAAATATCTATGGAAGAAACTGTATTATTAACTGCATAGCTGTTAGCTTATTGTAAAAATGTCAAAACATTATTCAGTTCAATTTAATTCAATTCACCTTTGTATGAAAATGCTTTTTCTTTTTTTTAACCTCTTCTTATCTGTATTTGCTAGCTACAGTGTTCAGTAGCTTTTGCCATTCACATCTAACTGAAGCTATGGGCCTGAAGGCCTCAGTAAACTTTTGGGAGGACACGCTGCCTTGTCTGTTAAACAGAGGAATGTGTTTTCCCTCTGTGAAGTCTGGTGTGCCCACCCCAATAGCATCCAGCCACCAGGTGGGACTTGGTAAAGTTTTACTGTGGCTTGTAAATGAATAGCCTCTGATTTAGCTTTTGAAAGTGAAACTGCAGTTTCCAAGGAGGAGAAACAAAGAGAAGCCACCGTAAGTGCCGGGTGATTGCGTGTTTCTGAAGGCTCTAAACAGTGGGAATGCAACTACAAATATGGGATGATATTTAACACATTTGGTGTGATCAGTGCTCAGAAAAGGTCAGGGAGATGAAAGCAAAGGTGTCTCTCTCCATTGAGTTTTACACTGTTGCTCGTGGTGAAGAGGTTGTGAGCAAAACCCAAATCATTGGTAAGAATTCAAAAGATGATTTGACTTATACTCGATACCACATCCTGCCAAAGCTGATTCTTAAAATGCAATGAAGAAGACCAGATTTTAATCCTCTCCTTTCTAACTTCTGACTCGTGTCTCAATCCTGCACCCCACGCCCCAATGCTAGCAGTCTCTGTTTATTAGTTACACTCAACTTCAATTTATGATCTCCACGTTTTGCTTGAGGCTCATGTCTTTGCTGGGATGCAATGGGACAGACAAGATCCAAAATTCTGCTTAGAGTAGTTTTCCAGCTCTGAAAGGATTCATGATTTAGCTAGCAAACTGAGCTTCAAAGAATGAAATTAGTAGAAAGGCTCCAGTGGTCATCAACATTGCAAATATAATGAAATAGAGGCAGTAATCCATGGTTTCTGATTTATCTTTGTTTTGGACTAGTTTGAATTTCTGTCTCTGGCATTTGGATGTGCTGCCTTTTGAAGTAAGTTTTCTCAACAGACTATGCTCTAATCCAGCAGAAAATTTAATATTTGGGAAGATATTATGCACAGTTCAAATACCCTTGGTGGTGTCTATTAATTATCAGAAAACTGAATAAACCAGTTTTAGAGTAAGGAAGAATATTAAATTAAAGTATTTTGCAAGTGGTGATAAATCTTAAAAGGAGAGGGAGAAGAGTAAATATACTTTTAAGAAACTTGGTGACAGGCACTTCTAAAATAACTAGATACTTATCCATCATCAATGAAAATTGCATTCCTAATTGTGCAGAAGCCACCTTGTCCCTTCATACAATTTCGTCTCACTCATTTAAGTCATTTTCTCATGCAGATACAGCAAGATTGACTAAACCTGGACCGTGAAGTAATTCAACTAAACTCACAGTCTTGATGCAGGTTAATGACCACTCTTCTAAAAAACAAACCAAAAATCCAGCCCAACTTTATAGTTACAATAATTAAAAAAACAAATGCACATAATGGGAATATTCACAAATACTTTTGGTGTAAATCTAAACCAAGAAGTTTTCCTACTTCTGATATTCCAGAACATGTTAGTTTATTTTCCAGATTTCTTATTTCAAATCTGTCTCTTAAAATTCAGTGTTCTGTCTGTGGGTAGGGAAAATCAGCAATTTACTGTGAATTGTTTAAATGAAAATACAGAAACTTCCCTGTTACCATGGTAGGTTGTTAGATGAGCATGAAAAAATCTGTTTACATTGTATTTAACTGAGCACTGATAAAAATACAGAATATTGGCTGCCTCACATCTAAAACTCTTTGACCAGGCCTGATAAGTTCTTAAAACTATGCAGAAGACACACAAAGTTTGCAAAACTGGTGATGGCAGAGGAAAAGCTTTTCAAGTCTTCCATGCATATTAAATTATTTTTTGCTACATGTAAGTTTATGAATGCTGTATGATTGGTTAAGGGTATTATTATTGTTATTTCTAACATCTAATCAGGTCTGAAAGCAGTTATTCTTTGGAGGGAGTGGGAGTCACACTTTCTTTTAAATGCAATCATCAATTCATCACTGTGGTTGCATTTTATTTTTGATAAAAAAGGTAAGAGGCTTGCAATAAAGTTGTTCAAAACCTGATTTACTCTTATAATATGAATATTTCAGCTACAATTTAGAGCTTTTTCATATGTTTTCTAAAAAATATCTTCTTTAACTGAAAATGGCATATTGTCTTCTCAAATATTTAGTGATTATTATTCCTTCAGATAAAAATCGACTCCAAAGTATGGACCTTTTGTTTTCCCTTCATACAGTGCCTTGCACAATAAAAATTATTTTTATTGACAGGTATTATGGTTAAATACATAGTAATGCAAATGTTTTCCACTGTGCTGTTATGAATGCACAGAAATTGCTGAAGAAAGTAGACTACTTATCCACAAATAATATAAAATGTCTGAGTAGAAATACGTACCTGCCTAGAGTCCCTAGGCTACTGTTGTAATGGTAGACGAAAGGACCTCTCCAAATTTGAAACAAAAGGGAGGTTGGGATTTTTTCAGTACTACATTAAGACAGCATTTTAATGCTTTATAAATAAAGAAAACAAAAAAAATTATGGTGAGGTATTCAGTAATTTTCACACATCTATGATACTGCTTGACAACTATGCTTTATTTGCAGCCCCTAACATTCCCAAAGTACCACTAACACTTAAAATTCTTTGGAGTAGCCAATTTTATAACTTTTGTGTATTAGCTAGTGATCAAAATTCTCCCAAGTTATGTATGTATGTGTGTGCATATATATATATATATATACATATATATATGTATTTATTTATTTATTTCAAACACAAACTTAGGATGTTCTTATTGTTCTTAAAGAGCATGAACTCTGTGCTCAAGACAAACTCTTAATGAGCAGCAATTCCGCCTTTTTGTCCTCATTTCCTGAAGAGCCTGCTCCTAATTTACCACACACAGCACTAATGATGAGAGCACTACTTTGCATCAGGATTTCCCCCAACTGTTACTGATTCATTATGTGACTCACATTTGTTAAAGAAATTATTTTCATGAAGTGCCCTGTAAGGTGAAAAAATTGTGTTTAGACGTACTTATTTACAAAAGTAAAATAAAGACTCAAAGTTTATGGCTACAAGTATTGTGTATATTGTGTAAATTGAGGCAGTCAGAAGCACCAGAAATTTTTTTTTCTTCTTTTTTTTTTTTTTCCCCAAAGGAAATCCATCCTGCACATATTCCAGATTCTGCTCGGAAAGCTCAGGAAGTCACACACTCTGAGGCATTCAGAAGATGAAGCACATGTCCTTAATTTTTTTTAAAGTGATTACCTAGTTCAGTGGCAGGGGAAAGGGTGCACTCCAACTTCTAAATGTAAGGAGACAAACACAGAATACAAAAAATACAAACTGCATGCAATTCATAACCATACCAAGCCATCAGCTTGCAAAGACAGGCTGCCCCTCATGGGAAGGTGATAAGTTTAGTACAGACAAGCTTTGAGGAGAAACCATACCTTTTCACAAAAGGAGTTGCAACAATTCGTGCTTACTTGCATGCATAACAAAGGGCATGCTATGCCACTCGAAGGAAAAGCAAAACAAAAGGCCAGTTTAAATGGGATGTAGCTGCTTAAGCCAAATCTGAAATATATGGTCACTTTACAGACATAATGGGTGCAGTGACATGGCAGCTGCATTTACATGCAAATTAAAAGTAATGTTAGCAATGTGTATGAGTAAACATTAGTGTAGTCTCTTGGGTTATGGACCCTTTTTCCACAGTCTCAATTGACAATTTAAATTTTCTCCATGACTTGGAGTTTCACCACATGATAATTGTGCTAGGTATAAATTTGGCAAGTTTGCAGAAGAGCTGCCTTTAAAAACATAGAAATTGAAGATGTTCCTATTCCTCTTTAATTACTTAATAATGACATTTTCCCACTTTTGCTTTGTAGGAGTCAGAAGTGTGTCATGTCAATGCCCCTCTGCACACCTGCCTCTCCCCTGGCTCCACCAACCAGGACATTGCCCATAGGAGCACAAGATGAGGGATCTCATCCTTTGACGACCTCAGTGAAACTTCTTACCTGCAGGTTTGAGGGGTAGCCAGTTGTTGTGACTGCTGTGCCACTGGAGGTGGGTTTTGAATGAACATAGGCAGAAGAAACAGAAACAGGTGAGTACAATATAAGGCTTTTCTACTGAGCATTTCACTGAGTGTAACTGTATAATTTAGCTGTACATTTATTTCTGCACTATCTCTGTGAAGTATTGACTATAAGTAAACAGTATAGTGGTAACACCATAATCTATCAATTTATATTTTTTTCTATTTTAACATTTCCCAGTTTAGCACACAGCTGCTAATTTGTTGTGTGTGCTTCACTTTGCATTACCAAATATAGTATTGCAAATATTATTTTGAACAGAGTCTCTTGATAAACTTTGAGGCAAGGCCTGTGGAAGAAATAATGTCAAATGTAGTTAGAAAAGAAAAAAAAATCCCTTATGGTTTTGGGCAAAACTTTGGCCATGGTTTGAATTCCCGCTCATTTTTAACTATAGGGTTTTTTTTAAGAACAAGTTCTAACACAATAAGAAGTCTAACCTGACCTGGAAAATCCCCAGCAAGAATCTCTGTTGGCATGAGACCTGGGAAACCCATTGCTTCTTCTGCAATTCCCATTTAGGATTTCATTTCCCTCTTTTAGTTTGTCAGAAATAATTTGATTTTCAGAACTTCTGGTTATGTTACACAGCTAAAAGCACAGAGCAGGTGTACATTTATAGTCCATAAAGAAACTAAACCAATACATTGAAATGCAGTGCAAATACTTTTAAAACCAAAGGTGGGTTTTGATCCTATCTGTATATATCTGTATATAACCTGACATGGCAAATTGTTTACCTCTATCACATCCTGAAGTTATGACATCAAAGACAAAGAGAGCTGCTCAGGTATTTTAATTGTGTCAGTGAATCACTTAGATGTTCTTCTGTTTAACTGTGAATTTCCTGTGTCAAAAATGATTGTTTTGGAAATGCTGCTGCTCTAATTTCAAGTTACATTGGTCTTACTTTCTCCCTAACGTTTTTTCTTTGGGGATGATGGTGTGAAATTCATAGCAGCCAGAATGCAGGGGAATCTAGCAATTCTTCATACATAATCATTAATAATGTATTTCTGTACATTCTTAAGGGATCATATTTCCATAGGCAGTTGCAATTAATTCAAAGCAACAGAACAGTGACAAAAAACCGCAATGAAACCCACAACAGACCCCCTATCCTCAGGGCTCTTGTCCCAATAGGTACAACCATTACAGATCAGAACTTGTGTGTTTTATAGCAGATGATAATGCAGAATTGACAAGAAAGTGAGCACAAATATTATCAACTACAGATGAGAAGGTCTTTTCAGTTGTCAAATAAACCTATCCTGAGATGTTGATTTCAGTGTATGTTTGGCTCAGGTCTTGTGTCCTGGTGAACAGAAAGGATCTTCTCTTCAGCATTATGTCAACTATTTGTGACTGTTGTAAGCAGGGAGAAAAAAACCCAACAAAATAGCAGCAACTTTCACAAAAAGGATGTAATGGAAGGAAATTAACGGATCTATCGTTTATGTTGATGGCACAGGGAGACTTGTTATTAAATTCTGTGGTAATAGAATGGGCTCCAATATGTTTTTCATGTGTGTGGTTGCATCATGGTAGCTGCCTAGCTGCAGATGAGGGCCTACCAAATGCATCGGAGTATTTTTACTGAAGCGGATAGCTGTGTTTAGTTGGGAACTCACGTCAAGAAGGGTTTTGTCCATCCTTCGCCATAGCAGATTGATTTATAGACAAGTGTAAAACAATGAAAAACAGGCATAAAACCAGACTAATACATCTTTTGATATGATGTATATTAACTGTTGAATCCCTATTGCTGTAATTAGTGGCCTTATGTTAGAAGTTTCATGTTGCAGTCTGCCATTTATTTTGACACATACAATAATAAATACTAAACACTTCAGCTATAGCTATCTGATAGAAAATACAGAACATATATGGATGATATAACTTCACTACATTTTAATACTTTCTATTAAGTAATTTTGCTAATCTTCTCTTCACAACCCTGCATCTGGAAAAGTTTAAAGGCTTTTTTCTCCATTTGCACTTGTAGTGTATCCTGCTGACAGACTGAAATCCTGCTACCTTTGAAACACACATCACCCCAAACGGCAGAACTCGCTTCCCAAGGTTTCCAAACTTTTCCAGACTACTTTTAGCAGAGTCTCATGGATACTCTCACCTCCTGAGTGTGCTGTCCTAACAGTGTCTGGCAAATCCTGCAGGAGCTCTCACTGGCAAACAGCATTAGGCCTGACCTGACAGCACTGCATGTTTTGGAATGTGAGGCCAGTATGGAGCAGTGGGAGAATGCCAGCAGCATGCTTAGAGCTCTATAACAGAAACACAAAGTTAGAGGACTCCAGCACAGTTCCACAGAAGGATTTGGATCAGGCCCTTGTGTGAAGCCACCAATAGCTTGTGAGGTCTCCCTTGGCTTTGCTCTGCACTTGTTAGTGAGGACACCTTGCATCACATGGCTGCTTTCTACAGGCTGTTGCAGCAGATATGACTGATAAAAAAATTAGGGTTGTAAATACCTAGTGAAATCCAGTTGGTTAACAGACCATGATTTCAATGCAATATATGATACTGGAGGAGTGTGGCAGTAATGATAATACTGCCAATGCTGTCAGGTACTTGTATATTTTTTGCAAAATATTCACATTTCTGTTTGCATGGTACTTGCAGAATAGTAGTTATATCAGTATATGTTATATTTCTGTACATAAAAACATAAAATGCCCTTCATAAAATAGTTAAACCACAATGACTAGTTCTCTTCAGTAAAGTTCAGTATATATGTCTGGATTTTATTACCACAGTAACACAATGTAGGTGTTACACTTTTACCAGTTTCGGTATTTACTCTCAGCTTTTTCTTTGTTAAGTTTTGAATACTACGTGAAAATGAAGAATACAAATGTAGCACTGAATGGACGAATTATTTCCAGAGAGTGTAGTATCTTGAGAGTGTGTTGTCTAAGAACAGCATTTTGCTAAATCACATTACTGAATCATTTAAAATTTGAGGTTTTTGTATAATCATATTTTGTGCCCTTTCAAGTTCCTTTGTTATCACAGCTCAAGCTGTAAAACCTTTTGCCCCTTCTACCTCTAGAGAACAGTCTCCACTAATATACAGAAAATTTAGAAGTACAGTAAATTGTGTTTTGAAAAGACAAAATATATAACAGCCGAAGGTTTCAAGACCATTAGTATTTAGGCAGAATAGGCACTTATTTAAAAACAGTAAAGAGCAAAAGATGAATGCAAACAAAACCTGTAAATTGTTTTTGTATAGCATTTTTAGAAGTGTATTTTCAATAAAAACACATATTTTAAATATGCTTTCTTGCTCAGTTTTAACATAAAAAAATATTGAAACATTGAATTAGATGTCATGAGATCATGCTGTATTATATAACTATGTCCTGTAAACATGCATTTCCCTTAACAGAAATTCAACACCGCCATAGAAATAAGAAATACTGCTTACCTTCCTTCCTTAGAAAATATTCCCTGAAGGCAGAGTAAATCAGATTATAAAATGAAAAACAAACGTGAAGTGCACAACTCACACACGTACAAACAGCAGATACAGTCGCCTCCATGCCTGCTTCCAGCCTTCTGTACGTTTCTCACTTATTCACATTCTAGTTATGCTACAGGGACTCAAACTATGCTTAAAATACTATTCTGCAGCATAGCTGTAGCCACCAACATATTGTATAAATGGTACTTACTGTTCCAGAAGTCACACATCATCCTATAGGAAATTTACACCTTCAGAAGAGGAATTTGTTACAACTGAGCAGATTGCAGCAAAACACAGCGCCTGGCTTGTCAGAGAAAGTTGTTACTTTCAGAGATGAGCACATATTCATTCACAGAGCACAGTAGCTTTACATTTATGTACGTGCATGCATACCTACACACACATGCACACGCACACACATGCACACACACAGAAGGAGTCACAGCCTGTCTCTCACAACCACATGCTAATTGCTGAATGGGGGAAAATCTTGTTAGTATTATACACAATAATTTCTCTTGACCATGGCTTTTGCATACACTTTTCATTTAGTATAACCAAGACCGGTGATGCTACAAAGCATTTCTAACTCAGACAGGAGTAATTACTCACATAAGGCACCAAACTCTTTTTGGCTTCCCCAGTGAGAGTGCTACAACTGCAGAAGCAGTGCAGGGTCCCTGTGCTGGCACTCACTTGCTGCAGTCTTTGTATATATTATAAACTAATTAGTAAGACAAAGACATCTGATACCCAAGAACTAAAGAAAATCATAGAGAATCAATCAGATCCTACAGCAGGCATGTAGATTGGCTGTAAAAACATTTAACAGCAGGTAGATTTTTTCCCGTGCTGTCAAAGTTAAAGGTACCAAAAGGAAGCACACACTAAGGCATTTTTGTTCCACTGTGATATTGATCCAATGCCAGACGTGGTGAAACACAATGGGCACACAGTCAGCCTTGGTAAATTAGGTATATTAGAGATCATTTGATGGTATTCTATTGTTGCTATTGTAATCACAGTAATTTTCACTGGTAATGGTGCTTCGTGATGAAGTGCGGTTCTCACAGGATAATTGTGAAAGGTATCGAAAGATTCAGGGTGTAGCATCTGGTTTTAAAAGCTCTTCAGATTCAAATTGGCATTTAACTTTATCTTGAAAATTTATTAGAGATTCAGATCATGCCGGTTTAAATGGAAAGGTGAAAGCAGGGTAATTTCAATCTATGAATTATTCAGATTCAGACTGGTGAAATTGCCATCCATGAACTGATTCTCTGACAGTCTCTTTTGCAGAGCCTCCATTACGCTTGTCATTTTTATTTCTTTATCTACAATCTCTCTCTCAGTTACTGAGCTCGTCCCTTAGGGCTGTGCTTCACAAACCAAGTATTTAAAATTGGCAATAACCTAAATGTGTTGCTGTCTCGAATCGCGGTCTCCACAGGCTGTCTTTTCCAAATCATTAAAAGCCACATTCACGATGGTGTCTGTTAGGCTCTTCGATTAGATGAATTAAATTAAAAAAAAAATAAAAAGCCAGCAAAGAGAAGAGACCAGGGTGTCATATTGAAGAAGAGCTATGTTCCTGTAACAGTCCAGCAAAGAAAGTGGTGCTTTGTGCTTGTTCCTTTGTTGTCAGTGTAACCCATTCTAGCTGCATAGCATCACGCAGAAAGAAACAACTGTTAAAGCAGGCTGACTTCATGCCCCGGTTTCCAGCAGGAGCAGATAAGGACTGCGTTATAGACAGACTAATCCACGCAAATGTACAGGCAGAGACCAACCGCAATTAATAGCTTCTTACAGGCACGAAAACCAGAAGTAGCAGTAGTAGTAGTTGCAGTTGTAGTATTTGTAGTATTGGAAGAAGAAGCGACTGGATACCCGACAGGGTTTCATTCTCTCAGACTCCAACTGATACAGATTGCAATCCCAGAGACTCTCCACTTGATGGCTGGTTGTGTCATTGCTAGTCGACTGCTGCCCTGTATCCAGAAGGACTGGGACTGATTTAGGTCAGAGAGCCTGGTTTCTTGTTTGAGCTTTGCCCTAACTGATGTAAGAAACTGCGGCAATCTGTATTACCAATCTATCTGACCCTGGGATGCTGGCACTGCTTCGGCCGTGGAGTACCTGCAAAGGCCCCAGTCGGACGGACAGTGACAAGTGCCGTCTCCTTTGTCCTATTGCTGCAGGTACATCACCATAGCATAAAGGAAAAAAAACCCTCTTAGTACGCAAAGTGGGAAATCAGGCGTTCTTCCTCAGAGGCAATTTGGGTACAGAGCTCCGAGCAATCCCTGCTCAGCTGAAAATGCTGCCAGGCGGAAGCCAACACATCCAAGCTGTGTCTGTTCCTACGCTAACACCAGGAATATTCCCCTCATATGAAAAAGATAAGAATAAAAAAAAAAATCTATGCTGCTTTGTGCCTGGTTCTATGCGTCTGCTTTGCCGCACTGCGACTAGAAAACTGCAGCAGTAAGAGCTCTGGCAGTTGCGATAATGTAGAAAGCAGCAGCTCTGTGACACAGCAGTCAGCTGACTCGCAGTGTTATCATTCAATGTCCTCTATAGAATAAGGCCAGTTTCTAAGGTAGCACCAGGAGGATGACCTTGCATACGGAAACTGGGCAAGAAGGAATGGCAAGACTTGTGTACACCTGCAAGTGATTTTGTGGTGATGTATAGCATTATCATCAGGACCCTGTCGGTCTGTAAAGGTCTCTTTTCCCTCTCTCCTGTCCTCCTTGGCCAAACAGACCTTGTCATCTGTCGAGCAGTATTTCTTCCATCATGAAACCCTCAATATGATCATGTATAGACGATGACAACTCTTATTATTAATAACAGTGTTTGGGTAAACTGTTAAAAACATTGCTTTTTTTTTTTTCCTTGTGGTTACATTTTCACAAGAAATTGTAGGTTTTTGTTAACTTCCCCCTCTCTGTGACTATGGACATGCTCCAGGAGACAAAAAGTTATCAGGTAGACACCCCTGAAAGACAAATCCTAATTGGCAAGAGCATGTCTCTGAGTTCTAATTGAGGCATCTGACTACCTAGACTGATTTTCATGGTTCTCTGTAGCTCCCAACTAAATTCACTGGTAAGAACTTGTTGTTCCGGCCTCTGGGAAATCAGAAGGGAGAAAATTAAACTTACAGCTGGCAAATATGGAAACTTACTAGAGTTCTGAGTCAACAGGAGTCAAATACCCTACTGCCACCAGGGGCTTTGAAAGTTCCCGTGGGGAGCATCAGGCAAGCTCTTGAAAACCTTCAGCATGTGTCTGCCTACTTAAATTATACCTAAAGCTACAGCAGGTTTGTCAGAAATTGCCATAAACTTGTCAGTCACTTACTGAAAGAATTTATATTACATTGTGTTATCCTTGGCCAAGGGCAGATCATCTTCCACTCATCTCAGTGGATGTGTTGTACGTGCTCAGGCCAGAGCTAAATTGGCTCTCACAACTACTACTGTAGACTGTGCAATTTCAGTAAGACACTTTTTAAGTTCATTTAAAAGTACACAGAAAGTCTTATCCTGGAGTTTAGCAACAGCCAAGTAAGGAGCAGCCATTATACACCAAGCTGGTATTTCCTGTGATTTCCAAACTCATGCTAAATTACATAAGCATTAAAATAGACATAAGACAGAATTCTGTTAGAACACAGCAGTTTGCACCAAAACCCAAACAAACTGTAATAAAGCCATAAAATTTGTAAAAGTCCTGCCATATCTTTAAAATGCAATTCTTTTGGACAACACAAAGAGCAGAGCACCCATGCAAAGACTGTAGTCCATTGCTGGATTGCTTCAGGGGGAGGGATGTCTGATCTCATGTGCAGATGGTTAATGGATGAGTAATGTAGCCACAGTCCTGTCTCTTCCTTAATATTTTTTTATTAAATGCCCTGAAGGCTGCTATTCCTGCAATCAGCAAAATCAGCACAGACGTCAAGTGGGGAAATGCCTGCGCTCTGCCCCCAGACCTTGCTCTTCAGTTACAGGCTGCACCTCCTCAGCTCCATACATTTGATGCTCAAGACTATCTTTTTACTTGCTCAGCTGGGATCTCCTATAGAAGCCTAGGAAAGAAGCATGAAGTGTAAGCAAACTCCTGGAAGCCCTGGATGCCAGTTTTCCTGCCTTACAGGATTTGCTGAGTGACTGGTGTTCTCTTGATTGTGCTAATGAAGACTCTTCTTCTGCTGAGCTCTGCATAGCTCCACTTTTTGTCTTCGAGATAAACTGGATGGCTGCTCCTCCAACGGGGGCCTTTCAAGCCTCAGCTCTTCCTAAGCAAAGGATGGTCTGTAGATGGCAGAATTTGTGTTTCTGCCGACCATTACTGCCTTTGGACAGGGAGGGCAGGAGGGAGCACTTCTCTCCTCCAGCCGCCAGATCCATGGGGCACTTCTCTTCTGCAGCCACAGCTGTAACAATCATAAATCTGAATTTTCCACCATGGTATTTTTCCTGTACTCCTGTTGTCACTTTGGGTGTAGATAGAGGTATTTTATTCCCTCAAAGGCCTATAGGCTGAAATATGCCTTGCAGTCTTTGCTGAGGGAAGGGTAAGGAAAGCCAGCAGTGCCTGGGGGGGTCAGCCACGTGTGAAATGCAGGGTGGGACATATCCACTGAGAACAGTCCAGAAGCTCTTTTAAAGCCCGCACCATGATTTGTTTCTGAGATTGACTTTTCACTTTAGTTTTCTGCTGTCAATGAAGGCTAATGCAATTTCCTGCAATGTGTGCAGAGCTCCTTTTCTAGTCATTAACACACACATTTCCCTCATGAACAAGATCCTAATTTGGTTTTCTTGAAGAAGGTTCGAAGTTAAGTGTTTTGATTGGTTCTTGTCTATGTCCCATATGTTTGTACGGTGTTACACTGAATGATATTGCATTATGTTTTGGGTAAGAAATCACACTTGAACAAATTTGGGAAAGAGATTTGAACTTTTACCTCATTTACCACTTAAGCACTCCAGGAAAAGAATAGATTTAAGTTTTGCCTCTTTTCTCCCCTTTTGCTTTTTCACTGAAATGGAAATTGCATCCAAGCCCATAAACTGGATGCCAAGTTTCAACTGAAGACAATTAGAAACAGCTTAAATATTAAACTGAAAGCCGAGGGGCCAATGACATTTAAGGGACGCTCTCTCCCAGGCTCTCAACCATAGCACTTCTGACAGAATGCTGTGTTAGAGATTAATTTTTAAGACATCACCAAATATATCCCGCATATGATCCTACATAAATTACAAATTCAGAATCTTTTGGAAGTCTTTTGGATGCTGTGTTCCCCCTCATAAACATGTGCAGCACTATATCCATTTGGCAGATATTATTTTAAATTCTCAGGGTATCACTGCAAATTAATAAGGCTGGTTTATGTTCTACACTTTTTCTGTATTCCTTATATTGCTTATAGTTTTTAGTCGATATGTACAATTAAATGCTATTTTTTCACCAAATAATATTTATTTCAAATGGACCTTTTCAGGTTTTTTTATTTTTATTTGTCAGATTTAAGTAAATCTGATTGTCTTGATTTTACTAATACAATTCTGTAAGCAAGTAACAGGCAGTACATTAACCTACAGGTTTTTCATGTCCATTGCTCATTGACATATTTTTTTGTCATTACTTCCTGGTGTACAAACCTGAGGCCTTCAAGCATTTTAAATTATAAGCACATACTGTACAAGATCTTCCCTACAGCTGGTTCTCTTAGGATTTTACCTGTGTCTCTGTATCTTCAGTAAGCTTCATGTAAGTTGAGTCTACTGGGAGAAAAGAAACTCCAAAACTCTTACTTTTCTTCCACAAAATTTGCTAAGGAAAAGATTTTTCTGAAAACCAGAAAAGGCTTTCAGAACTAGTCCCTAAATACACTTTAAAAATGGCCTTATCAAATGGGATTCAAATTTGAGACACAGAATTAAACTTTTACAAGCTGCCCTTGGAAGACTAACAGGGGCTAATTAAAAATGTAACTCCTGTCACGGAAGTGAAAGAGAATCCTGTGTATTTCCCAATCCTGCTTCTGCAAATCCTTCCTGCTGAAACAGCTGAATCAGAACAAATTGCTTGTGTGTGAGTTACTTCGGCCATATGGTGAAGGAAAAAAAGAGCCGTGTGCCTCCTCAGCTATGTAGTAAATAGGAACTACCTCCACGTGGGTTTATACATTTATAGCTAATGTGGAGACTTAAATGTGAAATCAGGAAAATTAAGTGAATTTGTGGGTCCCTTTCTGGGACTTGTGGCTTATTAACTGTTAAAAAGATGATATTCAAACAGGTACAGGTATATATTGATAAGTATATAAATATAAATGCTAATTTCTAGTATGAATAACATTTTGTCATTCAAGTGATTAAAATACAAACAAGACTGTGTGAAAAATAGAACAAAATGGTGATACACAAGCCCCACTAACAATAACACGGAAATTTTTTGATCTAAAGTGCAAGAGGATCATTGCACAAGGTTGGTGAATAGGATGTGACAGGAATGTCAGTAAAGGACAGGCGCAAAAGAGACATCTTGTTGTCTGTGACACATCATTGGTGTCAGTCACTAATGATCTTCTTGACATGTTGAGTATATATCTCAGAATGTATCAACATTACTTCTTTCTTCTATCATTACTGTTAGAAGTCAGTTTAAAGTTCCCATGGTAGAAACCAAGGTTTTTGCAAAGGGGTGGTTGCATGCCTTGGGGAAGATCACAATTACATGTTTGACCTTATTTGGATATGGCATTTGATAAACCTGGGATAATTAATCATGGAATAATCAATGAGATTATCCATTTGGGGCCTGTTTTTTCAGCTTTTGTTTGTGCTTCACTTAGTAGTTCTGTTTGCTGAAAAAGACTGCAGTAGTGCCAGGGATGAATGAGGAAACAATCCTGGAGAGAAACAAAATGTGAAAAATATGGCATAAATAGGGGGACCTCTATAAAAGGACAGAACTGAGAGAGTGCACTGAAAGTACTGGCCAAATGCAGCAGTCTGCAGATAAAGCCATTAATCTGCAAGAGCCCACCCAGAAACTTTAAATTCTCCACAAACTCTCAGGAACCTAATCCTCTAACAAAAAAATTCACACCTATAGCCAGATCCCCATGCTGTCAGCGCTTACATAGTTGTGTATTTTTTGTGTTTGATAGGTAATGATTTTATTTAAAATTCTCATGCTCTTAATAGATACATTTTTAATGACCACTATTACTTGCAAAATTAGAAAATAAATCAACATGTTGAGTTAAATGATAAAAATACACACAGCTAAAAATAAAAATTGAAATTAAAAATTACAAATAGAAACAAACATGCAGGGAAGTGCTAAAATGAATGCAATCAATTCCAGATTTAAAACAACCTCCCCACACTCACCCTCCCCCCCTTTCCACTACTGGGTGGTCACGGACTCATGGCAGTTACTAGTG